GCTTATGGCTCCATCAGATTTAACACCAGTCAGACTGCCAAGTGATTGATTTCCACAGTGAAAGAACATCAGAAATGGTTTCAAGTGATTTGGAGCCCAGCACTTTCAACAGCACAAAATTCACTTCATGTCAAACCACCTTCCAGTCCTTTGCACACAATGCAGCTTCTTCTCCAGTTCTCACTTGAGTTACAAACCAATTTCCCAACTCTGCAGAGGAAGCAATGGCTGCTCTGGCTGTAGTTAGCAGCAGGAAACAGGCCAACTCTGCAGTGCTCAACAAGGCACCTTGCCAAGACCGCTTGCCTCTGCTCCATCACTCCCAAAGCCACTGCTGCACACTGCAGGAAAAGCTCTTACAGTAAGGTGCACTGGTGAACTAAAAAGTGCCAGACTGCTGAAACGGCCAGAAGGAAGAGGAGGTGATTATTCCCCTTGTTGTGTGACAGAAGAAAGCCTTTAGATGACTTAAAGATTACTCAAAAACATTATAAGTTTTGATATTTTGATATAGCAACTATTTTGTACCTGTAAAAGCCCTCTCTCACCATAGATCCAGCTGATCCGTAAGTGCTTTTCTCACCATTTCATGAAAACTCAGGAATTTGTTATCCAACCTTTTCATTTTTCCCTCAGCTTTCTATACTTTACAGAAACGAGATGAGCTCAGTTCATTACAACATGGTGCTAATAATGCCAAGGTTAGGAGTTTAATCCCTGTATGGGCTATTCACTTCAGAGTGGGACTCGATGATCCTTGTGGGTCCCTTCCAACACAGAATATTCTGTCACATATTCTGTGAAATCTTTCAACTATCCCGATTCCTCCGTGTTTATTTCCACTGCTATCTAATCCAGTGTGAGAAAAAAAATCAAAGATCACAACCATTTGTTACTAGTTTAAACTAAATAAGAACTGAAGGACAGATTATACAAAACAAAATCACATTTTGCAGATGAAAGACCTAAAAAAAATACTGACTTCTATGACAAATTTGAGGCCCACCCTGGAAACCCAGATGCCTAAACCAGCACACCAACCTTCACCAAATTAAAAGAATCTATCTTCTAAATACTTCCTCTGCAGAAAAAATGAAGGTACGAGATCTGTTTCCAGATGTCAATTGACTTCAGAAAGGCAGCTGACCATACACAAGGTATTACAGTTTTAGAATACATTACTACTATGCCCTTTCTATTCCTCATCTAGGTTGATCATTTGATTTTGCCTTTCAAAGGGAAAGACAAAAAAGTCTTAGGAGAAGTTCATACTTTGTTTTATACTTTAGTCACTTCAGCATCTTTAATAGTTTAAAGTTCATTAATGCAACTTTTCTTTAAAATTATTTTCCTTCACAGGACAGTATCAGAAAACATGGAGATTCCAAAAACCTACAATAAAGGTATTGGTAAGTTGCTGACCCAGTGAATTACAATTTCTGCTGTTCAGGTAACAAAGAATTTTAATTAAGGTATTATTGTGTATCATTTTAACGAGGGAAAGATACAAATTTCCGTAACACATTCTTCACCAAAAAACAGTTCTTGAACACCTACAGGTAAGGTGTTCAGTCTGTGGGGAAAGGTACTGCTCAGTCCTAGACACAGGTAAGAAAGAATATTCAGAATGAGGAGACAACCCATGAGCATGTTTTGTCTCTTGTCCACTAAGCCTCCCCTCTAGGGTGGGACTTTCCTACAGGCTTGCTCCACCTCCACCCCACTCCATCCCACTGTATACATTCCTGCTCACAAGCTTTAATTTGTCTAGCTTCAAATTCCTCAAGCCTGTTACATCACTGTGTCAGCAAACTTAGACAAATAGTTTAAAAGTCAAAGTTTTGATGGGGCTCACTGCATGTCTGAAAATGTCCTGCAGAGTTTTGCTACATTACTCGCTATGCATTTCAAATTAATATAGCAATTGCCAAACTAGATTAGACAACAAGCCACTAAGATTAGCTTGGATACAGCATGAAAGCAAGCCAAGAGAGACATGAAGTCCTTGTACAGGGCAAACAGGAACAGCAGCGCTGGAAGGGGACAAGAGAAACACAGCTGCTCCATTCCACAGTAGGTCGTAATAAACTGGTTTAGCTTCAAGAATTTAGCTCTTAAACTTAGGCTACAGCTACACTGAGCCAGTTTAAGTCAGACCAGCTGCAATATCACCCTCCACTTTTTTCCATATATGCATTCCTGTCCATTGGACTCCCGTGATCTCAGAGGTCTTTTCCAACCTAATTGATTCTGTGATACTTTGATTCCTGTGCAACAATGTTGTTGTGTACATCTGATTCAGTAACCAACTCAGCAGGTTCAATCCACTAAGGCAGCAGCAAAAATGCATCCTTTTTTACAGCTCTTACTTCATCACAGCTTTTGCCTTGGAAATCTACAGAGTACTACCGCCAGGGTGCTAAGGAAACAGGAATGCACGGCTTGGGTAAGCAGGTACTTATTTAAGTAAGGCATAAACAACAGTTATTTTCAAAAAATACTTGTTGAACTTAAATTATTTCCAAAACCATTTAAGCATAAATCAGTTAAAGAATTTCTTTCTAGACTTCAAAGGAAAAAAATTAATTCTATATCCCTTAATTTCCATTTACAATGATTTTTGGACTCATGATGTGTTGAGGAATCTAATGTGGATCTTGAGCTGCATGCTAGTTCATCACGTGGCCAGTCACACTGGGGCTATGTGGGGTGCTTGGGATACTGAGTCATCCTGAGTTTTAGCTGTGGAAGAAAAGGAATCAGCAGGGACTGCTGGGCCTATATTGCTTGTTTGCCTGGGAATCCAGCCATGCTTCCCCATCCAGCCCTGCAGTATGGCAGAGCACTGCCCCAAGGAGTTGCCGCTGCTGTGCCCACTGATTGAAACCCCCCCTTCTGCCACGGCAGATCTCATCACTTCTGACATACACAAATCTTGTAAACCTCAGCACTGCAAAAGCTTCCCATTTATGCCTTTCGCTCTAGGTTTCAGTGATACATCAGTGTGCTCTACTGTCAAGGTGTACACCACATGACTGGTGGAAGGGACAATTTTCGATTCTGGTACGTATCCCACTGTTCTGCTCAGTTTTCCTAAGTTTAGAAGTGTCTTTTCCACTCTAGCCCTGTGAGGTAAATAATTCCAAGCTTTTTAATGTCCTGTGCTGAATTTTTGGTCTCTGAAGCCTCAAGCCATGTTCCTGACAGTCAGCAAATCCACAAGATTATTGACTATATCACCTACAGAAAAACAAAATTTCTATCTGCAATCTTTCAGCATTTTTTTCTCACTCCTTTTCAAACAGTTAGTTATTTACATCATTTTGAATGAACACCTTGTATGAGAATAACTTCATGTTTTTTTGATTTTCTTTCCAGTAATTTCCTTAATTTCTCTTGTTCTTGTGCTACATATTACTCAGCATTAATTTTCCAACTTGCATACTTTATCTTTTTTCTTGCCACAGATGCAGCATTAGGAGACATCAGGCAGAAGAGAATAGAAAGGTCCACAATTTATGCTTGCCGTATTTAAATGCCCAAGAACAGACAGAAGACAGGAAAGAAGAAATCATCACCAAAAAATAAAAATAATACTGAAATGGTGAGGGACTAATTATGCATCTCAAAGACTGCAGCTCTGTCCAGGAAGGCTGCCTTTGCATAACACGCTGTCCAAAGGAAAGCACGCTCAGAGAAGTAAGATGTTCAGACTTTCTGACAAGAAGTTATCTTGATTTGAAGACATCCGACAGAATTTCAATCTGTGCTAAAAATCATAATCCTTGGATTAAAAGACAGAATAGGTAAATAAAGTTTTAGTAATACCAGAATAAAAGATACTGGTTTTCCCATGCATATGTTTTATGCTTGATGGATCCATGCCAAAACAGGGTAAAAATTCTGACCGAATCTTCCCCCGAGTCACTTCTATGATTCCACTCCTATGTAAGATTTCCCAATAAGAAACAAGGAATATAATCACATGGCAGTCTCTTCTTCAGAGCTGAGGGTACTTTTATATTTTGTTCCCACACAGGATTACTCTAATACAACTTTCAGAAATGTAATTCTTCCTTGGATTCCTAGTGGTAATTTTTTTGACTGATACATAGGGAAGAGAAATGGAAGAGGTAAAGGTAAAGAAAGACCAACATTGCAGTCTCCTTACTTTAGGAAATCCAAGTTAAAAAGTTGGAACAAAAATAAACTGTGTTACACAGCTTTGACATTGGTGATATTAATATTCTTCCTATCATATAAGCTTGCTATTTACAGCACCTTTTTACTCAACATTTCTGACACAATGTCTTGCTTTTCCCTTTTAATCACCACAGGGAAAAAAAAAACCTAATAGGAGAACAAAACATGAATCTTACCATTTAGTTTTAAACACTGTAAACTGTAGTAATAGTTCAAAGTAATCGGATGCACATACTTTGTTTTTCACCACCATTCTTTTTTAGCACATACATAACTCCACATGCGTACAGTAGCACACTTTAGTTATATCACATTATAACCTATACCACATTATAACAATTTGTACTGTTCATTGAAAATTCCTTTTAGACTATTTAAAATGTGTTTTCTATTCTGGAGTTAGAACACAAACAAAAGAAAAAATTCCCCCTGAAAACTCTTAAATGTGACCCAAAAACTTCAATTATCTAAGAAAAATTAAGCTCCGTGATTTCTTACTAATTCAGAAGTCCTATAGTCCTTATCCTGAACTCAATAAAATGAAACAACCCTCCTCTCTTTTCTGCAGAAGGAAGGCAAAAACGGTTCTACTGCAAATTAGCAAATTTAACAATTATATTCAATTAACATAATAAATGCTAAAAAACATGGTATGACATACATCTACATGATTTAGATGATGAATGACAGGTAGTCTGCCACACATGGAATTCATTATTAAAGAGTACAGATGTTCCCTTTTACAATCTTTTCCGAAGTACCCTTTCAGCACATTCCCAGCCTCAGCTCATTCTCACCAAGATTTCCATCCTCAATGGTCAGCACCACTTCATCCATCACCAAGGCCCGGAAATCCAGCTCCTCTTCACAGCATTTGGCCTTCAGTGCTCTCAGGATCTCCTGCTGAGGGTAATCTTCTCTGATGCGACGGTCTGTTAAGAACCACAGCCTGGGAGCAACTGAACTGCACATCTTGGACTTGTGTTGCAACCCTTCAAGGTTTCTTTTCAATGAAACTGCTAGACAGTAGAAAAGATGAGACTCTGTTAGAGCACATAATTCTCGATCCCTGCCTGCACCAAGTCCCTCTCCCTCTGCACAAGTCAGTCCTTTTCAACAGACTGCAACTTCCAACCTCCAAGAGGCAAAATAATGTCTACATCTAATCTGTCACTGAGGTACCAATAACACAAACAAATCCATTTACATTTGATGGAATGTTAAAAGGCTGGTAATCAGGTCTTGGTCCTCATCCTAGCTTTCTTCACAATAGGTATACAAATGATATAACTACTGGTACTGGTAGTAGCATCCCCCTTTCTTGACAGAACTAAGAAGCAAGCCAAGAACTTAAAATTTGAACGGCCATGTCTGAAGGTCAGAATTTCAACTTCACTACTGGGATAATTCCTTACAATTGAAGTAACTCAGCCCCTCTCCTCAGTACTGCTAGAACACCCAGTGACAGAGCTGATTTGTCCTTTTCCACCACATAGGGAAGAAAGTACACTGTGACAAATTCTTAATGTTAAAAAAGGAGCCCAGAAGAACAAAAGAAATTCATTAAAACAGAATTTTCCAGATAACTATTTAGGACTGATTTGCTCTTACAACTACTTCACATCTCCTGCGTAATATACTTAGAAATATATTTAGTAGTATCCAGAACACATAATAACATTAAAAAACGATGGAACAAGGAGCATCAACAAAATGTTAGGGATACAGAACATTAATAATATATGTAAAATAAAGCAAAAATCAAACTGAATCTCAGTACTAGCCCTTTCTTGCTCCAAATAATTTTTTAAAATCATCTTTATACATAAACAGCACTAATGAATTCAGCACCAAGAACAGAAAAAAACAGTTCAAATTGAAGAAATTCAGTGGTGTTAGAACTGATAACAGCAAGGTACTGCTCCTTTTGCTTTGAATACAGAGAACTTGAGCTATTCTTGACTGAATACATTTTTACTGAAGTATTTTAAAAGTTGTAAAACAATTACAGGTATGCTAATGGACTACTCATTTACATTCAAGAAAGACAAGCAGCAGCACGGTGTAGGGAAAAAGATTTCTGGAGAAAAACAGAGCTGCTTTCAGTGTCACTTTCCTATTAAAATAAAGAGGTAGAAATCATGATTTTCATCAATAGATCTTACGTAAGTTCCAAAGAGAACTGAACTAACTCAAAGAGAAGTGGGATAGAAACAGGAGTTTCTCCTGGTAGTCCTAATGACAGGACGTGCTGTCAGCAGGAAATGTAAATACAGAAAGACAGTAAGTATACAACTGCTATCATTTGATATTACAAAGAATTTTAGTTTCTGCAGCAGGTCTTGGGACAAAAGGATTGTTTAGCTAAAACCACAAGAATCGGATTTTCTTTTTTTTTTGGTAATTAAAAAGTAAGTTTTTCCTACTAGTACAGTTTTTTCTTAACATGAACATCAAATGTTAAGTGGACATTTTTACTCCTGGTACTGACAACCATAATGACAACAAACAAAGACGAAGATATTTTTCCATTGCTTTGGTAATGAGGAGCAACAATAAAGCCAAGGACTACAGGCCTTCATCCTAACAGACTGAATGCAAGCAGAAGCTTGGGAAAGGCAATCATAGATCCAGACCAGCCCTTGACAGCAGTCAAGATGTTCAAGGTAAAGGAGGAAAAGGAGTGCTTGCTCCCTGCAGGAAAACAGGTATGGCGGGTTGTAAGGAATATCTTTTGATATCTCAAAGAACCTCTTTGTTCTTCAAAGCAGCCGAAAGTGGAATGGGCAAGATGTGGCTTGGGCTCCCAATGGCTGACAACCATCAGATCCAGCCCCACTTTCGCCTCTCTCAACAATGGATTTCTCCATGAGGCAGTTTACATAAAACTTTCGGGAACAACATGCTCGGCTAGGAGCCGGGAGAGGCTGTGTTTCCCAGCCGTGTCACGGCCGCGCCGGGGCACAGCCCGGAGGCCGCTGGGCATCGGCCCTCGCCGCTGCCATTTGCGTGAGGGGCGGGCGAGGCGGCGCAGCGCCACCTGCCGCCCCGCCCCGGCAGCGCCGCGCTGCCCGCCCGCCCCGGCAGCGGGCTGAGGGACAGCCGGGCAACGGCGAGTACGCCAACCAACACACCAGCCACACCTTCTCTTCGTTGAAAAAAAAAACAAACGAATAGATCAAAAAACAATACATCTTTTCAGCCTGCTTGAGGTTTTAGTTTGAGGTTTTGAGGCTTTTTCCCCCTCTGCACTGGTTCTACCACTGGTGGAAAAAACAAGTATTTTTTCCCCATTTTAGCTTGTCAGTAACCCTTGATTTCTTTGACAACCTACTCCCATTTTTCTCAAGCCTCTTTTCTACATCGCCCCACCTCCACCCCCTCAAGTCTGCCATCATTTCTCCCTAGTGTCATTTCAGCACTCAAACCCTTAAAAATCAGCAAAGGGCCATGGTTCTTCTACTTTTGAAAGAAGCTACAGCTTCATTAAGAAGAGCCATCCAGGTATCTCAATGAGCACAATACACGTGCAGGCATACAAAATTGCCTTAGGTATGGGTATTCATCTCCCTCCTAACACTGTGTCTCATTCCATCAAAATCTTGGGAGTTTTATAACTGTATATACAAAAGCTAACATTTTAAGGAAAGGAGGTAACAACCTCAAATCTGGGAGCAAAGATTAAGAAATTCACTTTAGGTCAAGCTACAAGCCAGCAGCTGAGGCAGAAACTAGTAATCTTATCTCTTGGTTCCTTAACCCCCAACCCTACACCACCTTTTTTTCCACCTGGAAAAAAATCTTTCCATCTTTTTCACACTAACGTTCTGTTCCTAAAAACAGAATCTACTAATCAGTTTCAGCCTCTCCTTACAATCTCTATTTTGATTGTGTAAGAACTCTCACAGAACACAAAACCTGCAATTTACCCTATTAACCCAAACATCTTAACAATCCCTCCCACATTCTCAAGAAAACAGTTTGTAGGAGGAAAGCTGGCCTTGCAGTCAGATGCACGAGAGCATAAAGCTCTCAAGCTGGATATGATTGCCAGAATTTTTCCTTGAAAACCAACTCCACCCATTTCAGTCTAAAAGACACAGCCTCAGACAATGCTGGGTGTGCATGCAATACTTCCTAATCCATGAGAAAATCTATTGCAAAGTAAGTATGGTATATATAAGGGAAGAGCAGATGTTTTAATATGTTCAAGATGACCAGCTGAAGTGCAGTTTTCAATCAAAGCTACCTACTACAGTCAAAGTACAATCCTTCAAAAACTATTTAATAGATTTACGAAATTAAAAGCAAAAAATGACCATAAACCTAACTGCATAAAACAGACTGGGGAGAGGTAAAAAGGGTGGCATCAAAGTAAAAGCTCTCATAAAAATTAAACTCTGTGTCACGGCAGCCAAGCAGACACTGTCGCATCAGCTTCAGGAAGCTCTGTGGAACAGATTCTTAGCAGTTTATAGAGGGAATGGAACACTCACCTCAACTTTGAGCTGTAACACCCTTGTACTGCTTCAGCTAGGCTTTATTCCAGCAAGCACACGGCAGCTTCCTCCCCTCCACATCACATGCAAACCTATTTCCTCCCGCATTCCTTCAATCTGCAGTACACCTTTAGCAGCTGTTCTAACAAAAGCACTCACTGTGCTCCTTGTCTGCTTTACATCATATAGGAATATGTTTTCTTGAAATAACAGAGAATTCAGCCAATCAGATCAGCTGTCTAGAGAGATCTAGAAATCTTCTCTGAAGACCACTCTTTTTGCCTTGAAGGGGTCTTCTCTTTACAGAGAGATTAGAGAACTGTCTCCAGGAATGTGAGATTGGTCTCCATTGTTAATTTACTCCTTATCCCATCTTCAACACCCAAAAGCAGGAGAAAAATGGACTAATCTCTTTTTCATCGTGATGTATTACCTCTAAGAAGAAACCCACTGTTAGGGGATAATAATTAATTTATGTTTTACTGGTAAATGTGTAAAATAAGAGATAACTAGTATGCAAAAAAAAACCCTTTCCATGTTCTTTCTGCTCAGATTGCAACCACTCAATGCTTTTCTAAATTATAAAGTCTAACTTGTTTCTTCCCTATGGGAATGATGAATGGAATCCCAGATGTTTTGTAGCATTAAGAATCAATATTATCTAGCTATTTCAACTGCTCGACCTGTGATCTGATGCTGTAGCACACTCCCACTGACTATACTGTGATCTGGGAAACAAGTTAGCGGAACAATTACTATCACCAGCCCCTCCCAGAATCTCCCTTTTTTTAGAGCTTGGCTCAGACTCTCAGGCTCAGTTACAGCACTGTGCAGCTAACACAAACTCCACAGATTCCATCAGTTAATAGAGGTAAAACCTAACCTTAGTTTTAGCATACCTCTAGGCATGTTGGATCCCTACAGCTGAGAGAATGATAATAAAAATCTCATGGAAGCGAGAGGGAATGAGCAAGGAGACTGACAGTCATGACTGCCATGCGAAACAGAGAACTAGGAAAAACACAGTTCTAAGCACTCACCTCACTATGATTAACACTAATAACATCATTGGTGCTTATCCCTTAATACTCATTTCCAAAACAGTGTTATTCAACTTGGAAGGCTTATTTTGACTTCCTTTTCATCATAAATTAGATAAGGCTTGAAACTGAGTACACATTTCCAATAAACCAATCGTCTCCACCATGGCAGAAGTTTCTAGAATGCTAGAAGGCCACATTTCAAGACACTGAAGACCTAAGAACATTTGGCAGATGCTTGCAAGTTATCTCCTTTAGGAGGTAGCTCAAGGCAGATCTGAATTATAAAGTCAATCTTAGATAGCAGACCACTTAAACAGCTAACAAACAGTCATCCAGCACATGACCCAGCACATAATCCGCCATACACTGTCATGGAAGTCTCTGTCTCATCTTAATGAGAGGAGAGCAGTATTTGAAACATCCCAGAAATAGGACTTTCTATGCCATAAGGAGAGTAGGTCTGCAAACAGCTCACAGCTGTTTCAAGTATAAAGCAAAAGTAATTTTCTTCCACACAAAGGTGATGTGAATGATGATCATCTAAAGAAAATGTATGGATGATGAATATATCCCATGGTGATAGAGATAAGAACTGACATCCTTCAAAAAATAAATCCACGGTAAATCAACTCATTCCTGACAGTGCTCCTTCGTAGTGATGCTTAAGGCCAACATCAAGAAAAATTCCTCTTTTATGTACCAAAAACTAGTTTTCCTAAGACTGTCACATAACTGTTTGAGACTCTTTGGAAAGAACATATTTTTAAAACCTGAAGAATCTGAAAAATTAGAACATTTATTTAAATGCATTTTATATAATATATTGAGCATCTGCAGCGCAATCTGTCCAGTGCTGCTGCATTATCATCCACTCGTTACACATGCAATGTAGAATTTAAAGTCTCTGCAGGCAGGTGAACCCAAGCACACCTCTTTGAAAGCATATCACAGTATTCACTTCCTTTTCCCTTGGAGATTTGTAGACTGTAAAAGCCAAAGGATATGGGAATATATTAATTGTTCCCATTTATTCCCAGTACAATCCCCCCCGCTGCAGACGGGCAACTGCACTCTCAGTGATGGCTTTCATCTGCTTGTCTCCACCTTTGCACTGAGTGATGTTCAAGATGCTAGCAGCAATCCTCCCAGGCACAGCTGCCTCTAAAAGCCAGACATCCACACCCCCCCCCGCCCCATCTTTCCTCTTCTATGTTCATGCTTGCAAGTAGATGGTTAAGATTCCTCATTCACACACCCCACTTCCCGATCACCACTGAATAATCCATTCTCTTTCCTCTCTGCAACACGAGCCCGATACTGGTCAGCATCAGCCATCCTTCTACTTATTGGTATTTTTTCCTACAACAGCTTTTTCACCCCCCTCCACCATGCCTGTGTGCGCACGCACGCCCATGTGCAAATAAAGCACACATTTCCCCCACATCAGGTGCTTTTCTGATGAGAAGCTCTTCCACCTGTGCCAGGTTTCCCTGCAGTGTGGTACAACACCCCCCTCTCCTCCCTGATCCGTGTGTACACAGCCAGTTTTCCCTCCTCCCTTCCCCCACCCCACAGTCTCTGTGCATGCCTCTCCCAGCGCCTGGAGTGGGGGAAGGGAAACATGCACTGCGTGAATGAATGGACTGAAGAGACTTACCAGAAATTTGGTGAGGAAGGAGTGGAAGACGAAAAAGACACTAAAGATGGGTGTTTCCTTCAGCGTGCTGAGTGCTGCTTCAGTTCTGGCTCCCTTAAGGAGGTCACGTGTCTTGATAGGTACCCCTTTTCCTGGATCCTCTACTAACCAAAAAGGGTGGCAAGGAAGTCTTCTGGATGCCTCTCTGCACTACACTCCAAAGGAGGGAAGGGTACTACTGAAGCTCCCAAAGCAAGCAAGGGATGATGATGATAATGAGAACGTTCTCCTGGTCCTATAACAGGCAATGTCTAGTGGATGCCTCGGGGACCAGGGTAGATTTCTGAGGGGGGAAGGGGAGTAAACGACTGTTAAAATAATTCCCAAATTGTCCTCCCCTATAGCAGGGATAGGAAGGAGTAAAAAGAGTGCTGGTGAAGAGCTGTAGCTTTCTACGTAAAATAGACTCAATCTTTGTGTCTCTACTTCCTCAGAACTAAAAGCCTAAATGACTCTGAAGACACCAACACCTAAGGAAGAAAAAAAAAAGAAGAAATGTCCCTATTAGACATAAATAAACATATAAAGGTATGAAATACAGATAAACTAAATCCCAAAGAAATAAAAGGTGCCATTCAAGACAATAAGCAAAGTCAAATGAAAACTGTGAGATGAACACAACTAGGGGAAATGTGCAACTTTAAGGAATTTACACCATTATACTACCACAGATACCAATTCTAAGGAGAAAAAGACCCCAGAAGGCTAAGCACCTTGTTCTATTACTGAAGAATGTGCATTCAATGGAAAGATAAACCTGTACCTACACGTGAACATATGAAGAAAATAAGTTTTAAAACCTATAGAAACTATTCCATTTATTTGTGGGAGTCTTTAAACCCCTCCCCCAGAATAACCTTTAGGATTCAGACGAGGAGACTCGGGAAAAGTACATTTCAGGTCAGGAGCACGTATTCCTATGCATTAGGAGTATGTACTCCTATGCATGGGACTCCATTCTGCCACACAAAATAAACAGTGGTTTATAAACGGTAACAAAAAAAACAAACAAACAAAAAACAACAAACATATCTACAGAATGCTTGCTTAAATGATGGAATCAATTCAAGATTAAGAGTGGCACACTTGGAGAAACGGAGCCCCTGATAGGTGCCAGGCAGTAAAGTCACCGATGTGTTCTTTAAACATCAGAAAACAAAAGGGGAGAAGAAACCTAGTTGGGAAGATCTCGCTGCCAGACCCAACTAGCCACACACACCCCTGCCTCCATCACGTGAAGATCAACCCCCGCAGCCACCGCGGATCCCCACGGACCCGTGCGGGGTCGCGGCCGCCGTGCGAGCCCGGGGGGGCGGCGGTCCCCACCCCGCGCTGGCAGCGCGACCCGCCCGCGGAACGGCGGGTCCCGGAGCGCGGCGCGGACCCCCCGCTCACACCCCCCCCCCCGGCCCTCTCCCCGCGCACAACGAGCGGCCGCCGCCGCCGCTCCCCCTCCGCCACCCACCTGGGCGCCCCGGCGGGGAGGCGCGGGCAGCTCGCCCCGCTCCGCGCGCGGGGGATGCAGCACAATCACCATGGGCGCAGCGCGGCGGCGGCGGGGCGGGACGGCTGTGAGGGGACGGTCCCAACCACCCCCCCGCCCGCCCGCCCCCTCCCCGGGCACGGCGGACCCCACCCCCGCGGGCTCGCGCCCGCTCAGCCCGACATCTCACCCGCCCCGGGCACCGCCGAGCCTGAGGGGACCCGCGGGGCGCCCACCCCCACCCCCTCTGGCACCGGGCCTGGGAAGAGAGGGCGCGGGGCGAAGAAGGCTCCGGGGAGACGCGCCCCTTCCTCCCCGCCGGCGGCGCGGTCCTAGAGGGAAGCGGGCGACGCGACGCGACGCCCGCCCCCCCCCCCCCCCCCCCCCCCCCCCCCCCCCCCCCCCCCCCCCCCCCCCCCCCCCCCCCCCCCCCCCCCCCCCCCCCCCCCCCCCCCCCCGCCTTCCCCCTTTCTCGGTGTCCCTCCTCCCCGCGGCTGAGGCGAGGAGGCCGAGGCTGTTCCCTGCACCGAGCCCCCCGCCCGCCGCCGCCGCCCGCGCCCGCTCCCGCCGCCTCACAGCGGAGCGGCGGCGGTGCCGTAACGGCCGGGCCGCGCTCGGCACGCGCGGGGCCGGGCCCCACCGAACCGCTGCCCGTGAGCGGCGGCACCGCCCGCGCGGCGAGGCCGCCCCTGCCCAACGGCCGAGGCCTCCCACGGCACCTCGGAACGGGTCGGGCTGGAAGGGACCACAGCGGGTCATCTGCTCCAACCGCCGTGACCAAGCAGGGGGTCATCCTAGAGAACACGGCACAGGATTGTGTCAGGAGGTTCTGGAATATCTCCAGTGAGGAGGACTCCACAACCTCTCTAGGCAACCTGTTCTAGTGCTTGGTCACCCGCACAGTAAAATTCTGCCTCGTATTCAGGTGGAACTTCCTGTGCGTCAGTTTCTGCCTATTTCCTTGTCCTATAGCTCTGCACCACCAAGAAGAGTCTGGATCCATCCTCTTGGCACCTCCCTTCAGACACATACATTGATGGGGTTCCCTCTCAGTCATCTCAAGGATGAACAGGCCCAACTCTCTCAGCCTTTCCTAGTAAGAGAGACCCTTCAGTCCCCCAGTCATCCCTGTTGCCATTTGCTGGACCTGCTCCAGGAGTTCCATGTCTGACCTGCTCCAGAAGTTCCATGTCTCTCCTTACTGAGGAGCCCAGACTGGACACAGCCCTATAGATGTGGCCTCACCAAGGCTGAGTAGAGGGACAGGATCACCTCCCTGGACATGCTGACAATGCTTTTCCCAATGTTCTTCCTGCCTGTTCCCGCCCTCCTCCCCTGCTCTAGCTGGGGATTCAGTCCAGCCCCCACTGCCGTGGCAGACACCAGCCCAGGCCCCTACTGTGCCGACTTAGCTTCTCCTGCAGTCCCCACCTTCCACCCCTGACTGCCCCCTCGGGGCTGCAGACACCATCCCACTGCCACGGGTGACCAGTCCCAGCACAGCAAAAGCAGCCACTCTGTCAGCAAAATGTGCACTGTCTGTCACGCTCGTCACTGCTGCTGTTGGCATGTGGCATGCAAGCCCAGAACCCTCATCCTTCATGTTCAGTTAAAGGTGTGACACAATCACGTAATCAGACCTCTGAGATCATCAAGTCCAACCCATGTCCGAACACCACCATGTCAACTACACCATGGCACTGTGTACCACGTCCAGTCTTTCCTTACACATCTCCAGGGATGGTGACTCCACCATCTCACTGGGCAGCCCGTTGCATCACTCTTTCTGTGAAGAAATTCTCTTAATGTCCAGCGTAAACTTCCCCTGTCACAGCTTGAGACTATGTCCCCTTGTCCTATGTCACGTGTGACATGTTCTACGCACCACCCACCCTATGCCATCAATGTGCCTGACGTACCCAGTGTGCAGCCAGGGCTGCATCATCCCTCGCTGCTGTCATTTCTCTTAAATAATAACTGTTGGCAGCAGACAGATATGACACATCCCCTGTATCAACCAACACACCTTGTTTATCAGTTTCTATGGCACACCTACTCAGTTTCTTTCGTACCACACCCTTTTCATTCACTGTATCGTACCAGCTGTATATTCCACATTGTCCTATGTAAGTTTCTCCTTCACCAACCTTCAGAGCATCTAGACACAGCAAACACACCCTTTGCGCCCCAGGGGAACAACGTGTGTGTTTCTCGCTAACCTGTGCTGCACTCCCAGCTTTGCAAAGATGGGACGTACTCACTTTGTCATTCTGATACCCCCAAACACCCATCATACCATGAAGGTTACCATTCAACCTGCTTTCTTCTGCCTCTTCAGCACGTGGCAGTTCTGTCCTACTCGTCTTAATTCTCCCACCTGAACAACAGACAGTTTACATACCCTTCGCCTCCCCAGCACAGTTCATCTACATGTGACCATTCCACACAGGCTTTCTAACCTGCAGTTGCAGGGTAAAGCTGAGCCATCCAAACCTTTCTTGCAGTATCCACAATGTTTGACTGACATGATAGGACTGAATTCCACAGGAGTAACCTACGTATTGGAAGAGAGGATGCCCTAAAATTATCTGCAGTGTTTATGCATTCATACTGCACAATGCTGTACTGTGGTGTCAAATGCTCCATCTTTGGTATATCTTCTGCAAAATTATACCTGGCGGTTAAAATACTCATAACACAAACATTATAGAGCATTTCTAAGACTGACTTTGCTGAAGGGTATATACGTTTGTTCATTTGGTTCTGCAAACATCTGGGTCCTACTCCCCAGACCTCAAGTGCGATTCGGGTGCTCTTCTGAAAACTATTTGCTTCGTGTGTGTGAGGCAAAGCAACCTCACAGATGATGTCAGAGGACAAAATCCCCAGCTACCCAGACATCATCCAATGCTCGCCTGTGTGTTTGGGTTGCTCTCCAAGACACCTGCCTGCCTTTGTACGACAGTATAGGGAAAAATACATAGAATCATAGAATCAGACAGGTTGGAAAGGACCTCTGAGATCATCGAGTCCAACCCTTGATCCACTACCACAGCAGTTACTAGACTGTGGCACTAAGTGCCACATCCAGTCTCTTCTTAAGTATCTCCAGGGATGGAGAATCCACCAGCTCCCTGGGCAGCCCATTCCAATGCCTGTTTACCCTCTCTGTAAAGAATTTCTTCCTAATATCCAACCTAAATCTCCCCTGACAAGAGCTTAAGACCATGTCCTCTTGTCTTACTGATAGCTGCCTTGGAAGAGAGACCAACCACCACCTGGCTACAACCTCCTACTTGCCTAAATGCCAACTCAAAGTATAACTTGAGAGCAGGAGGCAATCATAGGCAAGTACCAGCAGGGTAAACTAGTAAGTAAATAAATAAATAACACCAAAATGCTAAACAGTATTTCTGTTATCTTGACAATAACAAAACATTATCTTCTTAGACAGAATTACTCTAAGCTGAAGCCTTCTGGAATAGAGTTCCCATGTGCACCAAGATCACACTTACAAAAGTTGTAATTTCAGGCTGTGAGGTGTGCAGAGTTTGTTTACGTAGGGAATTTGCTAACAAGGAGCTACTGTGGTATCTGCTCTGCTGAAGATTGTGCAACCACTGCCCATTGCCTCGCATGTACACATATTTCAGAGTAAGATTTCTTCTGGACTCACGTATGCTGTTTTTAAGACAGCATAAAGCAAAGAGGAAAGAAACATGTCTGCATTAGTATTTATATAACTAGAATTACAGTAACATAATAATAGCAGAATTTTTTTCTTTTATATTTCAGTAAGTAGCCAAGCTGTAAGGCAGGTGCCTCTCCTGCTCAAACATCATTAGCAGTTTGTGGAAAAAGGAGAATTGCACAGCTGGGAAATTGAGGAATGTAGATTTTTGGTGATACAAATGCACTTTTGGTTATAAGACATCTGAGAGGAAGTCATTCTACAAGTACAGGAAAAACACTCGTCACGGTAACAGTAAGATATTTGATCTCAAACCACTTGAGATGTTTCAGCTGGGTCTTATGATTATCAGTAACAATTTATTCCACCAACTACCACGTACCTTCATAGCTCTCTCACATGCAAAATGTAGCCTTGTATCCTTTTTATTACTGTTCGTTGAACTACTGGAGTTGTAGTACTTTGTCACAGGTTGGATAACCTATATCTCTAGAACAATTTCCCATCATCTAGAAACCTAAGTGAGTTCGGAAAGAGTTTTTTGCTATTTCTTGAAAAGGTAGAACAGGAGAAAGGGTCAATTTACTACTCAGGACATGCCCACCCAGGACATGCCCACTGCTGCAGGAACTTTTGAGGTTTGGTTTTTTGTTTTTTGTTTTTTTTTTTTTTGAAGAGTTGTCACCGCTGCTGAGTTGGATGTAGATGTTATACTTCCCTAGAATTAGTCAAGACCTCTTTTTTCTATTCTTTTTTATCCACTAAAGGTGAGGTCTTTCCTGTTACCCATAAACCTCATTCTCAGGACAAAATTCTTACTGTTTAAAAGTGCAAGGACAATATCGGGGAGTGTATCAGTGATCCAGAATACCAAGCTTCACCCTTTAGGGAAGAAATATAATTGTAGTATCAGGAAGGAATGGACGCCTCTGAACACTAAAGATTCCTGGCACCTTTCTTTTGAGATTTTTCCCATGCACTCCGTAATGCATAATGTAAGGACTGGTCCAAAGCCTTAATGTATGCAAAATCTGATTTCACGGTCGATTCCATGAAACATCTTTTGTCACTGAGTTCACTAAAACTGCAAACCAGCTGTTTAGTCCTGAAGCCAAAGTCTGCAGGACATTATCCCGTTTTTCACATTGTAAAGTTTCATATGCTATCTCTGGTTGGGTGTATGACCTTGTGATGGAAAAATGGTGGGAAATCCAACCTGCAGATGTTGCTAAGCCTAATTATTTATACCCATTTCCCTGTGTGCTGACTGTGTGCTCCCTGTGTCTTCAGCAGTTACTCATTTGGTCAGCCAAACCTCATAGCAATGTTTTTGCTTCCTGCTTGGATGACTGCATAATAAAAAAAATATGTATAAGGCAAGGTAAATGCCTGTGTTCACACATGAATGCTTGGGTTCACATATGAACACAGATGGTCCCATGGAGGGAAACAAGTTCTGGACTGTGTTTCAACAAGAAACAGCCGTATCATTCTTGTTTCATACCATGTAAAATGAGGGCTTATACCAAATGGTGCAAAATCATCTTTAATTTCATTCAACCTAAGTTTCTCATTGGTTCTGCCTGTTATGCTAATTGCTGTTCTGAATAAACTACTGTAAGATAGCAGAAAATGGAGACACTACTGCTAATACAAAGGACTCCCAGCTGAGGGGATCTGCAGGAGGTTCCAGGTTTCACTGACTCAGTCCCAAAA